CGTTTGAGAGGGAGGGCATGAAGATAGACATCTCTCAATTGCCTTCATAATCACATGACCTTTTCAAAGTCACAACTGATTGATATTTCTGTGAGGCTTTGAGCTGGTGACATTGTCACAAAACGCGAGCTCGGCTTTGCGTTGCATGCGTGTGTCTTGTATCTCTTCATAAGACCCAACATGGGAGCACTGAACCCGTTCCAGTTCTCACCTGATTGCCTTCTCATTCAACGCCGCAAAAAAACAAACTTTTAGCGCCTCGAAATTGTTTCACATGTTTCAAAATGTCAAATTACGTTTCATTTTGATCTTTGAATGTCATATTTTCAAAAGATGTTGGCGCTGAATGGAGGCTGGAGTAAGAGACGGGGCCGTCCACTCCTTCGATGGACTTATCGAGTCATTACGTAGAGTCAAAGATTACAACGTTGTCGCCTCAGTTATCGAGTTGCCTCTTGTCCTCTGTGGCCCTTTTCTTTATTCTACTTCTGGGGATGAACGTAGCCGTGCTTTCATTTCTTGAGTTCAACCCTTTTAAAAAGGATTGGAATGTTCTTTCTTGTTGAAATGATGACTCGCTCAGGTGTTTTTGTTGTTTTCATGTTTTGCTTCGAACCTTCCAGTAAAAATGTTTTTTTCTTACTCTTGGGAAAGTTCTGCTCTTAACGAAGAGGTAGTTAGGCAGTCTTTCAGTTCTGACACTCGACGAAGCACGATGCACAAACAGCCTTTTACTCTCGGGAATTTAGGTTTTCTTTTTTGTAATTAACATCTAATTTTGGAGATTACATTTTCAGGTCTCCATCGAAAAGTTTGCAGCCGGTCAGACGGTTGCTTTTAGTTGTCGGGATGCGCTCTTTTTAATTTTGAAAGTCCGTAAACTCTCCATAATGAATGTAATTATATACATACACTGTACCTGGATGCATTTTGTGTTGCTCAAAGTTATCCGTGGTGAAAAGCCGATGACAGTGAAGAATCCAGTGTAAACATTTGAACATGCAGTTGCCTTTTTGAAAATAGCTATTAATATTCAGTTGTTAAGCCTCTGGAGCTCACAATGCTTGTATATGACAGAGACATGTTGGCTTTGAAAAAAATCTTTTTGGATTCTTAAATAATTCCTTTTTAAATAATGGGTTTCACCAGTCCTAGTTTTTGTTCCACAATATACATGTTGGATTTGTGTCTAACATCAAAACAGTCGGCGGCGTTACAAGAAATAGAGCAGCATATTGGAGGATGAGTTCATTCAGAACAACACAGAGAATCTAAAGTCCCACACAGAACGGCTTTGAGTGGAAGTCTATGGTTAGTCTAGAGCTTATCAATTACCCCCATAACAACGTACTCACCGCCATTAGCTTTGCATGTATTTGGTCAAAAAAATAGAGAACATCCCATAGAATTTTGTATAAACACACTTTGTTTTATGGTAATCCATTGAGCATTTGGGACATCTGGCTTGAAATCTTTTTGCCAACCTCGTGGTGGTGGTGGTGACGGGAAAGAAAGGGGATCGACCAGGTCCATCGTTTAGGGACTTTGTCTGTCTGGAAGCTGAAGTGAGTGTGGGAGGTTAAAGGGGACCGTTTGTTCCAAACACACCTGTCACCCATGATCCTGTTGGCCAAGGTGTGATTTTATCACCTGAACAAAATCAAAAGAAGCACCAAAGAGGATGAGTGTACGTTGACGTCTTTGCCTGCGCACCTCCAGCGCTATTTCTGTGCGGTGAAATTTCTCCGGTTCTTAAGTTGAAGGGATGTGAGGGGACGTGATGGGGGGGGGGGTGTTAGCTTGTGACTCGAGGGTGAGCCGGCGGGAGCGTCGGAGTAACACGCTGCGTCCACTCCAGCGGATCTCCCGGGTGGTGCCCTTGATGGAAGCACTTAACCCCACCTGCTCCAGCTGAGCTGCACCGAGTGGCTCCCTGGAGCCCCTTTGTGGAATTGAATTAAAATAGATGGCATTCGCTCAAAGATGTGGTCCCAGTGCTCTTTGGCTGAATAACGGTTTGAAGAAAAGACTGGACCATGAGGGTTTTCTTAGGCGTGAACAATGTGGAGGCGCTTTTTTATTTCTCGTAGTTTTTAGACGCTCGCTTGACAATAATCGGCAGCCTTTCTTGCTCTTCTGAGTCGACCACAGTTGCTTCGCCGAACTGAGGTCTACCTGTAACACTTACAGTTAATAACATTTGTCCTTTTATTGGTTTTTAGTATCTTACCAAAAGTCGTTCACATCATCTAAATTACTTTTTGTGTTCAATTATTTCATTGTGACTCTCCTCATAGTGTAGTTGTAGCTAAGCTTCACTGCCCCCAAATGTACAAAGCAACATTTAGTAACATTTGATTTTAGCTGTCAACCATTAGTTTTGTTGGACTAAAAGATAAACAGAACAAAACTTTTAAAAGTTGTTTGTACTACGTAATGGCAGGAGGCAGTTCCTCACTTTTAAATGAACAGCAAATCTCATAAACCGATTACCTAATTGTCACGTTAAATAAATTTAGTGAAACATTTTGCTCGCTGTTTGTATTAAACATTGTATTATTTCACCTAATTTAATTTGTATTTAAGATTTCATTAAAGTGTTACCCTCATATAAATGCCGTGTTCTTTTCTGTCTTATTTAACTGTACAACTGAGTTGACACCTTATCAGTAGCATCGCTGTGCAGCAGTAGCTGCCGAACTGCTTCACTAATGGACTGAAACACTGTTTCGGCTTTGCTGTTTATCACAGTGGCTGACGTGACTGATTCCGTGTGTCGACCGGTCGAATGAACCATCTGACAGAGCAGCTGACTGACTGATTGACCGACTGACTGACTGACTGACTGACTAAACAACCAAGAATCTGAGGGAGGAACCTGCTGTGAGGGCAGATGATTGACTGTCAGTTTAGTTTTAATACGAGAAAATTGTCCGTGTGTGTCCATTCCCATGAGCAGGCTGAGTGACCAGCGCCGCTAATAGCATGACCTGCCATGTAATACTGGAAGGAGAAGATGAAGGGGGCTTAAAACAGAGAGAGCGAGAGAATTAACTTGGAAATGGAAATGGAAAAGCAGGAATTTGAGGCGCTGTCATTGGTTGTCGGCCGTGTGAAAGGACAATGCGGAGCGGTTGGAAAGAAATACACAGAGCAACAACGACTGTTGCCCTCTGTTGAACTGTCGAGTTCCCTCACCTTGTTACAGTAAGAACGACTGCCGTTGCCCTCTTCAACTAAGAAATGACACCGAACCGAATAAGGGCGGCGCACCCGAGCAGAGCCGAGCACTATGGATTGTTTTGGCATCGCGCCACAGTAGCATAACTGCATACAGGCAAATATCCGTGTGATTGATAGGATCATGAATATTTTACCCGCAACAAGCTCAGCTGCTGGTAATATGAGCCTAGAGATGAATGTAAAGAAGCTGCAGCCGCGGCTCAGTTCATTATTACTTACAGCCCGCTGTTTAGAGCACATCCGCCCAAACAAGGGGTCGTGAACGAGCTGCGAGGAACGCGGCTCGTTCAGACTCACGCAGATGAGTCACGTGGAACATACTCAATGATGTTGTCAACACACTCAAACAAATCCTGCAAAATCTCAAACTTCTACTCTGTTGTATTTTTGTGGCCAACATATTAGTCTCCTTCTGTATTCCTGGAATTTATGTGAAAAAAGATAAGATTGCAAGGTTATGAAAGCAGTTAACAAATGAATAGACCAGATGAATAAGCGAGCCATGAAGTATTGTGGTGCATGCCAAGCGTTTAAACATTCAAACAGGATATTTAAGGACATTTAACATGATTCACATTTATGTTGGGACTTCAGCACAACTCTAATAGACTTACAGAATTAAAAGGAATAGTTTTACTTACTTTTACTTTTTTTTTAAATTATTATTTGTTTTCTTTCAAAATATCGGATCCATTCATTTCTGCAAGATAAATATAAAGCTCCATCAGACGGGTTCCTAAGCTCACTATAAAGATGGAACGGGGTAGCGTTAGCCTAGCAAAAAAAATCGTTTAATATGAAATAACTGCCTCACATATACCTGGCCACAGTTTGGTTAAAATGATTTAATTAAGATCCTGCCCGGTGTCAATACGAGGGTTGCTGCCACTTATCACCTCCTCCACTCATCAAATAAGAGGAATTTTCAATGGAAAATTGAAAGGAACTTGGATTACGATTCTGAGAGTTCCGGCCATTAGGTGAAGGGGGGGAGAACGAACTCTACTTCAATTAAAATGATTCATCTCACCAAGCATAGCTACCAAGTTGCGCCTGTGTTTGATTTTACCCTACTGCCCTGAAGTAATAAGGGAATACTCAGTGTAATGTACCACTTCTTGAGGGAAGACTATTGATCGAGTAATTGGTAATTAATGAGTCGTTACTAGTTTGTGCCGCTCAGCGGCCGGATCAGAGTCTATTAGGAGCCACTCGTGAAGACTGTCAACTATTAGTTACCGTATGATTGATTAACATAGTATCTCGCAGCCTTTTCTCATAACGGTATTGATACAAGAGGCAAGTGAGAGTTTTTCAGGAAAGAGTCATTAATGATTCAGTCATTATCGGGATGTTGCTTATTAACTGCTCACTTGTCTCCCATCTTGAAAAAGGTTATCGACCGGCGACCGGCTTTTGTAAGTGAAGCGGAATGTAATCAAAAGGCACCTTACTCAACAGTGATAATGTCAGACAGACAAGGGTACACAGGTGAATGAATCCAGGCAAACGTCGTGAACAGGGGAAACATTAACATATTAACAGATCTATGAGGGAAAAGCTTAACGAGCGGCAGCTGCGCCGGCAGGTGTCTGATGGCTCCTGTCAGGTGACGGAGGCCGGGAACCAAAACGGGTTTTTATAAAGAATAAACTGCATTCTAAAAGACTTAACCGGATAATATTGATCAAGCGGGTGAGAGTCCTTTTTTTTTTTTTTTATGATATAAAAATGAAAGTCACCTAAAGTCATTTGAGAAAAGGAATCTGTTGGTCGTTGCTAGGAAACAGTCACCTTTATGTGTTTATTTGATTTTATTGAGAAAAAAAAGTTCCATTGAAGCAGTTTAATCTGATCGTTTCATTGTCGCTGAAGGTGTGAGAAGACCTTCAGTCTTGATCATGTATGGACCCCCGGTGGATCTATCGTTTAAAGGTATCAGCAACACTGAAGGTAACGTAGCCTCCTATCTCCTCGCCTCCTTCTCCTACAGGCACTGAGCTTTGAAGCAATATTGTACTACAACATTGTAATGAATAGCCACCCTATTAGACTCCTGTGTAATAAACCCATAAGGTTTTAACAGGAGTACAACTCACTGTAACGGCTTCATCTGTTAAGCTGCAGTGCTGGAGGTTCCCCGAAGCGGCCGCCGGCCTTTAAGGACCAACTTGCAGCAGAAGTACCACAGCCGCTCGCTGCGTCTGAGCCACAACAGCATCTCTGATCTCGCCGGCCTGGAGTACATCTGTGACCACTTTCTGGCTCAGCCGTCGAGGATCGGCTGGCTGGACCTGTCGTTTAACCAGATCACATCCATAGACCCGGTTAGTCGCTTCGCGTAGCTATTGTTGTTTCAAAAAATGTACATTTTTTTACATTATTTTACATCTTCACTTCACACTAATTGTACAAGATTTAACGTTTCTCTTCCAAGGAGGCTGGAATTTCTCTTCAAATTATCCGTCACTTTTTTTCTTCCGGTGTCGAGCCAGATTGGCCTCCCTGTCTTCTAAACCTGGCGTCAGCTCACACACAGGCTTTTTTGTTCTAGGTCGTGTGCGAGTTGCGGGAACTGCATCTGTTGTACCTTCATGGGAACGGCATCTGGGACCTGTCGGAGGTGGACAAGCTGAGGGAGCTGCAGCATCTACACACCATCACGCTACATGGAAACATCATCGAAACAAACAAGAATTACAGGTCGGCAACTTGTCTGTCATTCAACACGGAGAAAGAAGTCGCTTAGTCAAACGTTCTGCACGTTCCGGCTGTAAGAGGCTTCTGTCTGCAGCGATCGATTCTGGTTCACAAAACGAGTTGAATCGGATTGAGCAGAGCAGATCCAGAAAGACCTAAGCCTATTTTTAATTAGTTAAAACGTTTGAGCTGCTTAAATCTGCTTTACGTTTAGGTAGTCCAATGATTCTCCATAAAGATATAATTTTGACAGATTTTTCAAGGAAAATCTGACAATAATGTTACGACATTTTTTTTTGAAAATCTGGGAGTAACATGACAAGTCTCTACCAGACAAAGCTTTTTTCCCCCCAAAAGCCATAATTAAGGCAAATTATTTAATCTTTTTAAAATAATTAGTTAAAACCTCAACCTCAAATCAAATTATAGTAGTTTTTTAAAAAAATATAATGGAGTAAAGTGATATTTCCCCTTGAAATGTAATGCATTAGAAGTAAAAGTAAGTAGGTAAGTATATCTATCTTTCTACCTTAGAGTACCTCAAGAAGGGTGTCCGTCATTGGTTAGAATCTTCAAGCATTCACTCTCTTGATATGATTTTCATTTAATCGTGTAGAAAATACATGGACGACTTTGAAAATAGTCAGCTTAAAGATCAATTTTTTATTCAATTTTCCATTTTGATTTAATTAAGAATGTGTCTGTATGTGTGTTTAGGAAACATGTGATTTTTACACTGCCTCACTTGAAGACGATGGATTTCAGTGCCGTGACTCGCGAGGAGCGAGTTTTGGCAGATGTTTTTCATCAGTACAGCAGAAGTGGAAAAGCTACCAAGAAGAACCCTCAATGACCGGGAAGTCATTCATTTATTACCTTAAATGTGAGGTTGTTTGAATGATGCCAATAGCCCCCTGATATAAAGTAATTTCACCTGACTTTTGGACTTAGTGTGGATAAAATACAAAACAGCATAACTGACTCAACAATAACTGACATAATTTAAGTACTTGTTAACCATCGAAAGTGGAGATTTATTCTCATATGATTTTAATTCACATTACAAAGAATAACATAAGAATATTGACCTACTGATACTACTGATGTAAAGTCTTTTACAGCACCATCCAGCAAGATCATAGACCGTTTTTTCTGTTGATATAGTTTCATTTACTTTATTACTTTTGCCTCTTTCAAAGCACACAACGTCTATGTTTTGCTCATGTGTGCCCTTCAGCACGAGTACAAATGGTGGTCACGTGGTGGTCTAACATTGTGTACACTGCGGTAAGTACTGCAGCGGAGGACAGGTTTGGCATCAGCGTAAGAGGTCAGACGGGCATGAATGCGAGTACACGCATCCAAATGTGAAATTTTCATATAATATGGTAATAGCTTTGTGTCTCTTCAATTACTGTCTGGTCTTGTTAGAGAAGAAACCGTAAATCCACCCTGAGGCCGATCTAACTGGCTGCCCTCCAGGCTCTATGTGGTGCACAACCACGTGCTACTGGTTCCTCTGCAGAACTTTTTACTGGTGGGACGGAAAACGAAAGCGCGCCGCTAAAACCAACAGTAACAACGTGAATTTATATCGTGAAATGGTAATTTAAAAGTTTGCATGTTTTAATCCTGCAGTGACACCAATGTCAACAATGTCAGGATGGGATTGCTCTCCTTGACTGTACAGCTCACATTGCTCTTTGGCTGGTTTACATGAATGTCACTTTTATTGCGTAGCAACAGTAGCCAATTTCCTAGATACATAATAAATGGACACCTGAACCTTTGATGTTTTATACCGTAATATTTTCCGAATCTTTATTGGGTATTTCATTTTATTCCGCTCTCTGTATGCCCTGCAATGTGCTGACTAATAATGACACCGCAGCTGAAGGCAGCCTCACGCTCACACTTAGTTAGAGCCTGGGGGCGGACGTCTGCAGAGTGGCTGTTCAATCTGTGTAGTTTTGGCTAACTTTCCTCCAGAGGAGAACATAGCTGGCTCTCGGGTAAAGTAATAAAAAATATGCTATCTTATTTATATTTTTATTAAAGATAAAGACCCAAATTAATGTAGTATTTATAACCCGATTGTTAATGCTGGGAAGCATCCCAAAGGCCGGAACAGCTTTTTCTCATACTTTTAACAGCTCTTTTTACAGTAAGGTTATTAAATCTGTTTTGGACCATGGCCGTAGGAAAAGGAGAAGGACAACATTAATATCAATGCAGTGGAACAGTCAACTCACTCATAGCATGAGGCGTGGTTATCCTATGCATATTTGTTGTATATTGTATGTACATCCATGCACATATGACATATGAATGTGCGAGTTGCGGATATAACGCAGTTAAGATGTTTATCATGATTAACAATCTTTTATTGTTTTACTGAAAAACAGCCTGACTGAATTACGCTGCCTCCACAAGTCAATACCCGATGTGCATATAACAGCACCGTGACAGTCCCCACTTCTGCATCATTGTGGCTAAGTGGTCACTTCCACCACAGCCACGAATGCACGCCAAGGGCGCCGAAATGTGTCCTTCCTTACGCCTGCCTGGTGGAAATGCCAAAGTCAAAGCCATCATACATGAAAAGGAGCGAGGAAAACTGCACCTAGCCCCCCCCCCCCGGTTGGCTTTGATGTGGTCTGAGCAGGCAGGCGACATGCACAAATCCCGGTAATCCTCCGAACGCTAAAACTGTGCAGCACTGCTTGATCGTCACTGACACCCCCCCCCCCCTCCCCCCTTCTCCCCCACCGTGCCTCTCCTCCCACGAGGTGCAGCTCTTCTTCGGGAGATCGCTACAGGAAACAGGCGGTGTTTATATATAGGGATTCTGCTTGTCAAGACTGAAAGATCAACTTCCAGCAGGCAGTTCTACTCCAGGTTGGGGAGGGAACGCAGCTCCAGAGTCGTGACGGGCCGGGTCCAGGGAGGGTTATTTCAAGGGCCCAGATGTGTTGAATAAATCATTTTTCCCAGACCTAATTAAACACTTACTCCCGTGCCCCGTTACGCTATTAACATCTGCTCTTCCAAATGCACAGGGAAGGGCTCCAGCACTAGATAAATGTAACGCTTGCAAACAGGATTACAATGATTTTCTTTCTTGTTGCTTTTCCTTTTTCCCTTCTCTGTTGTAATTGCATTGCTGCTTCGACAGAAATCTATCTTGTCTGATTTCATCGGTGAATAAATCATTTTACAGCTTCTGCTATGAAACAGAAGGTACATCATGAAACCAATACGGACACCTGTACTTATTACATTTCTGTGTCTCTCTGTTATTCGTTTAGAAAGTGAAGAAAAAATAGATGCTCTGATGTGCATCTATACATATATGCGCACAATCAATATGTCATAGTGTCACACCTTTTAGTTGGACTGTCACGGTAATTGCATGAAAATAAGAGAATGGGGCAAATTTTCCCAGATGCATTTGAATGTATGAAACACTGCAATCTAGATCCTAGAGAGCACGTAGGGCTGAAGGTAATGAGAAAGGCTGCATAATTAGGGTGGAGGGACGTCGTGGCCTGAAGCTGCTCTGTAGTCGGTGGCAGCGTACAAGTGGACATTTCTCCTCTATTTTCATAGCTGCTACTTTGCTGGTCTGTATTAATGCTCCGAATGCCGCCTATTGAACTTCTTGAAGGGAGTAGCTTCAGGCAACTGTTATGGCTGCTTTTTGAGTTCATCGGAGTTGTGCAGCTGCATGCAAACAGGAAATGAATGGCATATTTAATATTCAGTTTCTATATAAAGAGCTCAGTAGGAATGTTGTTTTTCTTTGGAATAAAGGCCAAACCAAAATATTCAGTGGATGTAAACGAAGTATGGGATGCTCGTTGAATGGGTATCAATGATTTAATGGGCGATTAACCAGTTCTGGGCCCGTTGGCTCAATACTTCCCCCTCAGGCCTGAGAGCAGAAAACCCCAAGCTGGTACAAGCAACATTAGAGGAAGATCCGTGTAGAATCTGGGTGCGCACTGATTGTTTTTGCCTCTGTACGTCTGGTTAACAGCTCCATGTCTGTAGTACAGGGGAATCGTTTCTTCCCTGAGTCACCTGAGGCTGACTTAGCCCTTTACTTTTACCTCAGACTCAAAAGTCGGCTTTCATTGCAGTACTATTAGAGAGAGTACAGAGGAAGTAAATATAGATGTTAAGTTAGTGTCATGCTTTTGTGCTCCGATAAGGTTATAAAGGGAGCTGTGGAGCAGACGGGAAACCGGGGTACATGCAGTATATTCTGCAGCACTTCTAAAGGAATCAGAACGTTCCACCTGCTTGTCTAGCTGACGTCTACACTGCAGCGTCAGTTCCTGTGGAGTGAGTCAAGAAAGCTTAAAGAAACCTTCATGCATCAATAATATTATGAAATCAACTGTGCCAGTTGAGGGATAGTACCTTGAACCTGAGCAGACTCTCGTGCTTTGTGACACTGCGCCGCTTATTATTTCCCTAATGGAGTTATCAGATATTCAGCATGCCACCTACAACTAATTACACCGACTCGGAGAAAGATAATTCCTTTTTTATCCACCTCGAGCTTTGTTGGAAAATACAAACCTCTCTTGGTGGTTTGTCATGATTAGTTCAGACCTGCTGATGTTGGCCGCCATTCCCTGAGCTCAATAGGATTTAATGTAATCCCACGGAGTAGAGCAGATGGACACACAAGTAAGATCACAGCGGTGTAGGGGCTATAATGGGCCTGGCCCTTTGCCTCCAAACCCCTTTCACTGGGAATCGTTTCAATAGATTGATGGTGTCATCAGAATTAAAGTTTGGGTTCTCCTGCAACTGCTTTGCTGGGCCAGATTTATAACCGATAAGGAAGGTTCCATTTCCTTATCGGTTCCTCTTGGTTTCCTCCTTTAAAACTTTCCCTTTTAAATGCTAAAACAAAGAAAGTCATATAAGGATATTAATATATTGAGCAGATAGGCTATTTTACAGTAATGACAGTAGTCTGGTGGTTCCGGCGGATTGAGTGTCACTTTTTCATTCTGGCTACTTCCCAAGGTAGCAATGAGCAGGACATTTCAATTTAAATATGCAGATGACACATTTTATCGAAACAAATGTCATGTCAATATTCAAAATTGCTCAAGGGATAGAAGAATGTGCCCCCTTATACCAAACCAATATGGTGCCGAGCCTTTTCACCACTTCTGACTAACTCCAACTGCTCGAATGTCTGATTAGCAACGAAGCTCAAATAGACAGAGAAGTGAAGGCAGAAGTCTGCTCAAAGCAAATTGGATCAAAGTTATTTCCATTTGAGATCCCTTTTCCCGGTTTCCTTTACTTTTCTTCCCAGATGGGCAGAGTAGACCTGAAGTATACTGGTTTTTTATGTTTACTGCTCTTGTGTTCTCCTATCATATTGCTACTGCTGTTGTGATGTATCCTAAGTGCCAATATCTAGTTGCGGGTACAAAACAAATCACCCTTTGTAATTGCCTAGAAATGATTGACCTTTCTAAACAAAACGTGAACAGATCCGGGTGCTGAAAGAGACCTTTATAATATGAAGATATTTCAGTATTTTGCATCTTGCATTTTCGTTTCTTTCATTTAAAATTAATGGTCAAATAGGTTTAGTAATATGTTTAAAATTGCAGGCTTTTTCTCTCTTGGGTTACTCTGTGGGGTTCCTTTTGACACTGAATGAATTGGGATTTTATATTGCCAATAGTGGTTAACGTATGCTCCAGAGTTGTGGAAAGTAAGAGAATTTAATCAAGCTGTTCACAAAGACGGAACTCCATCCAACACATCTGCAGAAAGTGTCAAAAGGGGACTGAGCAGATGTCATTTGAGTCAGCATCCGTCGTGTTTGGGGTTACGAGACCTCTGGTAGCTTGAACCTTATGTCTGCTTAAGGCAAGCGGCTTGATGCTTCATTATCCGGTGTAGGATAACACACCTGAATCTCTGACCTACCTGTCGGTGGTAGAGTTACATTGTGGGTTACGTGGATTAAAGCTGTAGCTCCGGTATTGCTGTAACAATGTTATCGGAACGAAGGGTTTCTCTTATTAAGTTCCATTTTAAAACCTCTCATGTACTATTTTATTTTTGCGTACACCTATTAACAATAATGACATTTTCCGAAGAAAACATCTCATGAAGTGTGATGATGTAATATGTTTAACTACCCAACAGTGTGTCAAGTATATTTACCTACAGTGTGGCCTTTTCTCATGTGATGTACTGTTTCAACGTGATGCCACTAAGACAACAGGGGATAGAAATATAAAGTATAAGCCCCCATTGAAGACAAGTGACTGAGACATTTCAGGGGGTCCAACTGCATTTCATTTAATACAAAAATAACAGGGATTGCTTTTACTGCACATCATTTCCAAATGTCAAACATCCAGTTCATCCTCTCCTGTATTTTTTCCTGCATTCACTAAACTCTTTCCGTGACCAGTATGCAACCTGCTGGTGCAGCACGCAGCAGAAGAAGAAGAAGAAGAAGAAGAAGAAGAAGAAGAAGAAGAAGAAGAAAAAAAGACCACTGTTTTGTTTAAAAGAAAGATCTGCAAGCACATGCTCAATGTTGTCTTCGACTGGTGCAACAAACTTTTTTTTTGGCGTGAGTGGGTTTCGACGAGTTAACCCCCCCCCCCGCCCCCCCCGCCCCAATACTCCCCCGCCCGCCGGTGCGGCCCAAAGAGCGGAGCGGAAGCCACCAGCCGCCCTTTGCCGCGGACCCTAACGAGATTACGGCGGCGCACCCGGCCGCTGCTCCCTGCGGTAAAGACGCACGACCACCTCCCGGACAAAAGACCCCCCCTCTGACTCTCACCTCTCCCTCTCTGGTTAATGTCGTTATGCCCCCCTGCTCCACCGCCACGGTTGAACGCGAGGGGGGAGGCTAGAGGAGATCTCTCTCTCTCTCTCTCTCTCTCTCTCTCTCTCTCTCTCTCTCTCTCTCTCTCCCCTCCGCAGACCTCGTGTAGTTGTCGCGCGAGTTGCACCACTGGAGACTAAAACTAGAAGAAGACCAGAGGAGAACGAGACTTATATTTTTCATTTTTCATTGCCCTAAGACTATTGTGTGCGTGTGTGTGTGTGTGTGTGACTTAGGAGAAAAAGTGGTGTCGGGTGGATGAGTTGCGTGGATGTTATTTCCTGGATGTTCTCCCCGGGCTGTTCCGCGTCGCGGCCCCGAGAAGGCAACAGTGTGCGGGAAAGTAGATGTGCGCGTTAAACGGATGTCTTCAACGAGGATAACACGGTGAGTGGAACAACGCGGACCTTTATTATCCCTCGATGCAAATCCAGATTCCCTTTTCTCCCGACTGACTTCTTCTACTCTTTCTAGATGATGAAATAGCCACACGGTTCCCAGTCATCTGTTCTTTTCTTTCTTTTTTCAAGGGGTGCATGAAGGAAGTTTGCATGTACGTGCTCTTCTTAATTAAACACAGATGAATCCCCGCTTTCCCCGTTAAACGGGGGGGATTCGCTGTCCGCGGTGCTGAAACGGGCTGAAGGAGGATTATTGCTGCTGGTTCACTCGGCACATTTATACGCAACACGCTACGATCTCCTGCAGATCTGTTTATCGAGGGGGGGAGGATGCACTGTGCCCTGCAGATAAGATTTTATATTTCCTTTGTGATATTTGGATTTGAGGCGTTAAATTGCATTCCTCTGCAGTCTTTTGTAATTGGGTTGAAACCCCGTCCTTGTCTGCCATTGATCCGCCCCTCTGAAGTGTACGATTTCAACAAGTTGTCAGTGGTCAGTTGGTTATGAGCCGCCGCGGTGACCGTACGTGTTGTCTGTCTCAGTGGGTCCCGCCACAAGGTTACCTCACAGCTGCCTCTGTGTCCAGGATTACCAAGAGAGAGAGACAGAGAGAGAGAGTCATCCAATTACTTTAAATTAGGGCCAAGCTGTCGCCTCCTTAAGAGTGAGCAGATAGCAAGAGGAAAAAGTCAAAGTTGACGAGGCGGGGGAGGGGATGTAGGTGTAACAGGTAAACGGGTACATTTATAAACTGTATTCTACTTTGTGTGTCCACACATGTCCCCTTATGTAATGTCTGTCTTTGCTCAGTCATGTGTGAAGGTGGCTTTTACACACGGGTAGTGATATTTAGTGCTAAAAATAAACACACTCACACACTGTGTCCGTGCATTGTAATGAAGCATAGTGAGACTGAATTTGAGTGTCCAATACCCGTCCACCGGCTTATTATATGCCAATCTACCTGTGTGTGTGTGCGTGTGTGTCCTGTATACGTACCTGCACGCGCGTGTTTGTGTGTGTGTGTGTGTGTGTGTATGAAGAGGGGTCAGACACAATATGCTCTGTGAACCTGGGACCCGTCCACTCGTCACCACGTCAAATCCAGTTAGTCATGCTGGGTGACGGACGCTGAAGGACTTTGATTTAAATAACTCTGCTGCAGTCCCTGTCTTTTAAAAGGGAGATTGTCTTTTGAGTTATGTGTTCATTTATTCAGTTGGTTTGTTAGTTGATTAGTGATTAGTGCAGAAGATATGTTCTCCGTATAAAAATAAGCCCTTTGGTCATTCCCCTTTAAAAAGCACTAAAATGGAAATTGCATATTGGTTGCTATTTTCGTTGAAACACCTAAGAAGTCAGACTCCTTAATTTGATTGATCACATTTGACCCTTGCATTGATTCAACAAATGCTTGTTGTTATTAACCACAAATGCCGAATTTAATGAGATCTGTGGCGTCATGTCTTACCTTCAGTCCCTGACTGAAAGATTTCCTCCTTCAAAACCGACGACTTGAATCAGACTCCATGTTCAAATGATGCTCTTCAGCTGTTTGACACAGTTTGGTGTGCCGTTTTTATTTGGTGCTTTACAGTTAGACGTATGCACTGCAAAAAGAATGCTTGCACTAAATTGAGGGATTACTTGTTACCGTCCTCTATAGGCGCCTCCATACAATATTGCACACTCACATTTTTTTTAGTTTTTCATTTCATGGGACTTTTTAATTAGTAAAGCATCCCTGCGTACTCACTAGAGATGTAAGGCCCCCCACACAAACATGCAACTCATGATGTCTGACCCAGTTCGGTATTTCAATCCGGTGAGACAAGCGAATAAGGAAATCACGATAGTTTATCACAACACAAGACGTGTGACGGTAAAGTCTTCAGTGCCTAGACTCTGAGGTTTGTAATTGATGGGCGTCTGCTTCGAACAGATACCCCTCCCTCCCTCCTCCTCCCACTATGGAGTTCAGACACTAGTGGCGGCGCTGGCTGGTGATTCTGCTCAGGTGGTCTGGCTGATTAGAGTAAGACGACTGGGCGCTGATGGGGCGCGTGACATCAGGCTGCTCGTAGATGCAGAAGAGAGAGAATCTTACAATAGGCTAACGATGGGAATCTGCCGCTGAGGTATTTCTTCGAATGGACGCGACCGGCCGATGAGAAGAGCTGAAAACGACATCGGCAGCCTCAAAACACGGGCCGCAGGAAAAGGAAGAAAGCCATAAAGGCCGGCTATGTGGGAAATAAACACGTAAACCTAAGAATGACAATATAGTCCTCCTGACTGCACCCAAGCTAAAGCTTCATTTGCCCCCCTTCACACTCCCCCAGTGGCCGGACTACCTATTAGAAATATGTCGTATTGAATTAGCCACAGTCGCGTGAGCACAGCTAACTATTCTTATCTCTGACAGATTGCAGGCTGCGGATGAGTTCCTCCGTCTCTGTCTGAAGGGTAGAAGTGGATGTTGTAATCCTCCTCGGTATTAAACAATTCTATCACAACCATATGTTTTCTGTCTGATGGTGTTCTCATTATCTGCAAAGGTACCAGTCGACTCTCGTGCAGTTACAATGCAGGGTAACCTTTTTCCACGTCAACTGTGTGCATTTCTCAACGCGCCCCCGGATAAGCATTTTTTTCACATACGGTTGAATGCTTTTCTTCAACTGTGCATGACAGTGTTTGTTGAACCTGTGCAGGAATAACAGACTTGGCTTTATGCTCACAACAAGCTGTCAAAGAGATGTCATGTGCAGTTAGTCAGGGCTCTGTGAACAACACTAGCTTTTTAGTAACCAAAAAGAACATGATTTTACATGTTCTTTTTGGTTGTGAACTGAGTTGGAAAGTTTATTTTCAGGTAAAAGAACATCTGCAGAAAATCAAACGTTTGATCTTTCAGTTCATATTAGCCTACTTTCCACTGCAACGCAGCAGGAACTACTTATTTAAAGGTAACATTTGGAAGCTGACACTATGCTAGCGAGAGCCAAAGGTGAAATGGGGAATTAGGTGCGATCACGTAATGCGTCGGTAAATTCAACGCGCCTTCAGTTGAGCGGCGAAGAGACAGTAAAGCTGAAAACTGCTTGGTAGGTTTCCATTAGCAAAATGAATGGCCACCCTGCAGCCAATCAGAATCGATGACTAAAGAGTTTACTTTATATGCTTTATTCTCCCGTCCTTGCTCCCTCTGGGTGAAGTTGTGAATGACTTCAGTCAGATACGATCCAACTTCAATCCAGGAATGTTGATCCTTGTTGCCATGTTGTGGTGATTTGGTTGATTGCGTTGCCAGGTGCAGTTTTGAATGCTTCAGCGTAAGGGATTGAGTCGACGTTCAACAATACACCAGAGTTGATTATTCCTAACAAGATTATTTGCCTGCTGGCCAAAGCACTGCCTGAAATCTGCATATCTGGCAACCCAGACAGCAGAAACAAAGAAGCAAATAATCAGGAGCTGTGAACTTCATTTTTGATTTGCCTCTTTTCTCTGACCAATTTTTTCGTTCAATTCAAAACGATATTTAATTCATATAGCGAGTAACCACTTGATATCGTTCGAGCAGGAAAAACCACAACAAATAATGCAACTTACATTAGAATTGTCGTAAATCTGTAGATTTCAAAACTGGGTCAAACAATTCTCTTTGGTTGCTTGGGAAGGTTCTTTGTGCAAGTAGAAGTTCACCAGCTTGCCTGAGTCCCGGAGCGCGATTAAATGAACTTAATTTTAAGCCTGTGGTAAAAGTTCTGAGAACCCCACTGCCCCAGTTTAATACCCTAAGTAGCTTTCTATCTGATCGGGGCTCCTAAACCACTTCAGCGCTGGACCCAAATGAAAACGACTAAGTCAACGAGCCTCAGACATATCGCAACACGGTACTGTTTGCCATAGAGATCCATCATCTCCACTGTGGGTGCTTGCTCATAATTCAACATATTGAAGTAATTATACATGGCCAACACCAGTGGCAGTCTCTTCAGTGTGGCTGGGAAAGGGAAAGTAGAACATAACCAATGGGCCCGTGTTTCAGCGTCCTGAAGCAGACCAGGACAGCTGCAGTGGTTTATTTGGGAAATGGGTTATTTTGCATTTAAAGCCGCTCAAACAGTTGGTTGTATAGGAACCCTAGGTCACATGACTACAGGTAATGGGACGGTGAAGCGTTTAATAGCTTAAGAGAAAGTGGCGCATTTTTACTACAAGGGGACCAAAAAATTGATTAAGATAGATAGATAGATACTTTATTGATCCCTCAAGAGGGAAATGTTGGTATCACAGCAGCATGTACATGGAAGAAAATAGAATAAAAAGATACACATTATATACAATATAATAAGAGAAATATTAAATTATTAAATTAAATTAATTTAAATAAACTGAAACAAAAGAATAACCTTCCAAAAGAGACAATAATAATAATTTGTAAAAGGAGAAGAGGAAGAGGAAAGAGCAGCAACATAACAGCAGTACAGGGTTATTAATGTAATTAAGGTAACTTAATTTAAAAGCTTACTCTCTTTAATCTCATATTTCTCATCATCACACATTGAGACATTTTAAAAACGCGAAGTCTGACTATCACAGAGCATTTGTTGGGTTTGGAGGGAGACGACTGCAGCCATAAAAGTCAGTGTGTCTGATTTAAGACCTGCAGAGCCTCCGAGGCCAAAGTGTGATACGCTGTGGAGTGGATGGCGCTTTCAGCAAAACACACACTCACAAGGAACCGTCAGCAAAAATTTCCATTAAAGGTGGCGTAAACAAAAGAACGGTTATGTTCTATTGAGTGTTTTTGTGAGCAAGAGAATTTCTTGTTTTATCTCCAGAGAGACAGAGGACGCAATTGTTTGCAACACAAAAGCCTTTTTCTACGTGTGTGTGTATGTGTGTGTGTGTGTGTGTGTGTGTGTTTGTGCGCGCAGGAGATTCCGTGTTGGCAGCCACATGCTAAGGCACAGA